ACAATGCCCTGCGATGGGTGGGCTAAGATACATACATACATTGATTACTATTCTTGGCATGCAGGGTTTGGTGGAGCCCACACACCATGCGACCTTTTTATTTAACCCCTCGCTGGCACATTGGCTTTGACAACCCAATCCCAGCCTTCAAAGCTGTGCAACTTGTGGGTCAGTGGCAATACTGGCCGATAAGCAAGGGAATTCGAATGCAATTATTATTGTGCATGGAGTACAATTGCTTGATTTACTAAATTACGTTGATTTCTTCCTTGTCAACATCTCAAGAAGAGATGGCAAGTCTTCTTTCCTTTCTGGCTGGCAGCAAATTGAGTTTACATTCCCTTGATGTCCAGGTTAATAAGCTGGGAATAAGGTCTGTGATTTGGGGATCCTTGTGCATTTGACAGGATGCAGAAGGATGGTTAGCCATGAATCGGATTGTCTCATTTTTATTCTGATTAAGCTTCTTATCAACCTTTGATTCACACTGACTTCACTACTCTTGCTATATCTGTATTTGATTGATTTACTTATATCTGAATAATGAATTTTCTTTAATCTTTATATTAACATATGTTATTATTAAGTTGAGATATATTGGGATAGTTGATTGGTGTTTACGAAAGTCTGATTCTGCAAGTATGTGAACAGTCTGAGGTTGAAAGATTTTGGGATGTTTGCAGACCACAACACATTTTATATCAATCCGACCCGTCTTTATTCATATCCTTCAACCACATTCGTACGTTCAATACTTGAGAGCAGTCAGAGGTCAACTGAAGGGCTTGTGCCTCTCAGCCCTGAATCTCTCCAACATCTCCCGCTTCCTTTCTCATCTCCATGGAGCGAACAACTCTAAAAGCGTAATTGATCCCTCTCCACTGCGTTTTCGAGATCATTATCATCTTCCAAAAACCGCCGCTTCTCAGAATTGCTATTGGCATTCTACAAGCCAAGAACGAGCGTTTCCGACCCATTGCAGGGTTTACCTTACCTGGTTAACTTAACCGGTGTAATCCTCACAGCGAAGTCCGGCCCGTAAGTCCTCCAGCTAAATATCCCGCCAACTATCTTCAAAAGAAGCCCCTCAGCCCTATTCATTACGAGAGGGGGACATACATTCCACTGAAATATCCCCCCACACAGATTGACGTTAAGCGTTGAGCAAGGCAAACTCTTATCACTAACAGGACGCAGTCGTTTATCGTCTCCGCTCATTCCCCATAGTGGTGGCATGGAGACACCGAGCGTATCGCCGTTCCCGAATTCTACCAAAGGATCGAAGGCCGAAGGAAATAGTAATGGGGTAACTAACTATACCTGTCCCAATGGAAACAGCACCATTTTGCGTCCTCCGTGTGAGAAACGCTGAGATAAAAAGCTTTTCTTCCTCCAGGATCGGCAGTTCATAAAACTAGAAGAAGCAAAGAAGCTTAACACCCCCCCCCCCCCCCCCCCCGGGCAATTCAGCGAAAGAACGAGCGCCACAACCACCAGCTGACAGCTGCACTCTTCGGTTAAAATAAGTCTTAACCAGCTTCTCGATTTCCCGTCTCCCTCACGTTAGAGAGGCATTTCGAGCGAGATGAGGTGATGTGTGACGGTAAGATGTCTGCCGACTTTGATTTTTTTTTTTTTTTTTTTGGACACGGGATTGAAAAAAATGAAAATTCATGCGTGATAACTAACTGCCTTTTGATTCTGGCTGTCTCTCTCCCTCGTTTTGCCCTTTTAGCCTAGAGACCGTATACCAAAGGCTCTGTAGAAACACACGAATTTATTTTACAATGATCCGCAGAAGCATTCTATGTACATGTACCTGATGTGGCTGTTCTCCACCGCTCACTGGACCGAACCTCATATCGTGGTCAGCTCTTATTTGCAAGTCATTTTCAGAAAATTGTTATTGAAAGCGATGCCCCGCTTGCACGTCTTCCCCACCCTGTTGATAATCTTAAATTAGGGAAATCATGCTGGATGTCGATTTGCTGTAATTCAGCGAGCAGAAGACATTGCGCTAGACTTTGAAACGTTTACCACCCACTGAAGAGAATAGATGTCATTTCAGCGAATCAGACATCCACTCCAAGTTTTCGCGCTGATGATCAATTTACAAGTTGCATACGTGCGCGGATGGGAAATGAAGAGAAGACACCATTTAGCAGCCCGTTGATGCAAGAAGCGGCCGCTAAACAATACTAGAATCAATAGAACAACAATACATGGAGGTTTTTTTATAATATATATACATACATATATGCATATATATATTATTCTTCCAAATTGACAGTGCTACTCCGGCTGCAAGAAGGAACATTTGGCGAGAAGAAAAAGGAGCGTGGTGAAAATGGGGACGATGAAAGGTTTCCAAATCAGAAATACAGAGGAAGGGAATCTCCAGATCAGTAGAGAGGGAAAGAGAAGCGATGCAGGTGTAAAAGCAGAAGTGCCGTACAAACACAAAATCATAGAAGAGCCAATCGTTGAAAATCGCCAGTTAAAAATGGGGTCCAAAAGACATTCTAAATGCAGATGAACATTGTTCCGTAAAACAAGCACGGGATGATATATGAGAAGCAAAACCCAATCCAATCTAAAACAATGGGGAAAAGGGGAACCTGATATTCAAGATAAATAAAACGATGAAAATGAGACACGACACACCCGCACAATTCTGACACAAACGGAAATCTCACGAAATCGAAGGATCCTGGAGGATCCGAAAACAAAACTCCGGAAAAATAGGAACAATATGATCTAATCCAACGCCTCGACGCCCAACGCCGAACTCGAACTCCTAACTCCTGACTCCGAAGAGACCCTCTCCAGACATCCACGTTCACCTCCGGCTGCTCCTCTTCGACACATTCGTCGACACCTGACTAACACTATCACTCGGCCGCACCGGCTCATCAAACTTACTCGACCTCTTCGACGACCGCCCGCTGGACCGCGATCTTGTTGATCGCCGCGAAGTCGACGCCCGACTCCCCGCCACAGGAGTCACATGGGAATCTACATCGACGACGTCAAGGAATATCGTGCTGGCGCCCGCGACGGAGTCCGGGAGCGGCATGTTGCGTGGTGAGTTTGCGCAACTGCCGTACGTGTGGGCGTGTGAATGTTTGCTGCTTGAGTGGCTGCGGGTCGGGGATGTGGAGGAGTCTTTGGGTGGGGAACTGCTGCTGCTGTGGCTGCTGTGGTGGTCTTTGTGGTGGTGGCGGCGACTGGAGGTGGAGATGGTGGTGATTGAGCCGGAGGGTAGGGGGATGTTACGGGCGGAGTGGGTGGATGAGAAGAAAGATGCGGTTGGCGTGGAGGATTTGGAAGATGTGTGGATGTCCTTAACGGTTATGACGGAGCGGGAGGGGTGGGAGTGGTTGGAGTGATTGAAGTGATTGAAACGATTGGAGTGATTGGAATGGCGGGTGTGGGTTTTGGAGGACGGTTTCAAGGTTGAGGAGCTGTATGTGGTGCTACCGTTGTCATTACAGTGACGGGAACGCTCTTTGAAGCTGCTGATGAACGTGCTTGGTTGGTGGTGGGTGTATGCGTAGGAGCATTCGGAGCCTTCTCCGATGGCAAGGGCTTCGATGGCGCGGACGGGAACGTCCATTTCTTGCATGCCGCTGTACGCACTCGCGCTGGATGCGCGGCGACCTGTTTCGAATTCATCCTGAGTATCCCCTCGCACACTTTGGGTTTGGCCCCAGATGCGCGTGCAATTATCGAGGCCTTCCATGATAGTACTTGCTCGTGGGTTCTTAGATAGCATGGTTCGAACATATTCAGCGTATTCATTTTCATGACTGCCAATGGTCATACTTCGGGCAGGTCCTGCTTCAATTGCTCTGTAAAGTGTTAGTTCTGGCGCTGATACAAAGGGGCAGGGTCAGGGGTTGCTCAACATACTGGTGTTGTGTTGGTGCTGGTTCAGAGGTCTCATTCTTGAGAATGGAATATGCGATTGCTGCTCCAGCTGCAGCTCCTAGAAGAGTCCCGACGACGGTTTTAGCACTATTTGTCGAATCCTTTGGCAGAGCCGTAGGTTGTGGTTGAAGCTGGATTGAGGCCGGTCCTTTGGTTTGGGGGGATGCGCTTGCGGCTGCAGGTTTGGAAACGGAGGTCTTTGCTTTGCTAACATAGGTTCCAATCTCTGACTTTTGGCGCACAACACTCTCAATCATCACAGACGAGGAGGCCTTGGAGACCTCAGATCCATTCTTGATAATCGTCAATGCCCTATCGCCAGACGGCTTCCCTGACCCTGAAGTACTGGGACGGTGGACAGCCTCAATGCTGTTCCCATCGAAATCAATCACTGCAGCGCTATAATAGCTCTGCTCTGCGTCACGTAGGGTCGGCTCTCCATGAATCTTCCCACCGGCTTTGAGCGCAGCAATGAAAAATTGGCTAACGGCATCTCGAGATGGTGCGGGGAAGGCAACGTGGGCAGCTCCAGCAGGGACCCTATTTGTATATTGTATCAGAGAGGGCGGTCAACGTTTAGTAGTTGATTGAATTAATTTTCCTACCCTGGTCTCTCTTCTGCGATCCAAAAGTCTGCAGGTTCTCCAGGTACCGAACCAAACCCAACGTTATTATCGTGGCGACCGATAAACCGGTACCCAAGTGGCTGCAGACAAGAGAGGAAAAAGGAGGTGGATGTCGGTAGATGTGAGACGGTTAGTGTCAGATGTGAGACAGGCATGGTGATCGAGGTATCGTGTGAGGTCGATCGAAGAGAGCCAAAGTAAAACCAAGTCTGAGAAAAATATACGTGAAATATCTGGAGAATAGTTACTACGAAGGACAGCTTTTGGGCATCGATGAGGTCCTCATGAGGTATATATTATAAGAGTGCAAGGGAGGAAGAAAACCCGAACACGGGGATAATTTGTACAGTGAACATCCAAATACGAAAACACAGGTAAGAATTATCTATAAAATAAGTTTATAAAATATGCTTGAGAGAAAACGAGAAGCGGATAATAAAGTATTTAACCGTTGACTTCCGGAGAGGCAGAACTGAAAGACAAGAGAAAATAGTCATGAAGCCCGCCTGCCGCGTTAGTTTCGCCTGCATCGTCACGGAAAGTAACCAACTGAACTGCAGATCCAGAGTAGAACAACTTGTTCCTGGGTCCACGGGGCATAGCATCATGAGGGCCAGGGGGGAGAAAAAAGAGGGCTTTCTTCTTCTGCCCTGTCAGGTCCACATCATTGGCATCAACATCGTCACCAAGCTTGCAGCCGGACAAGGGCAGCCGGACAAGGGCAACTGGACAAAGGATACTACAACGTTAGTCAACCCCGGTTAGACCGTCTTGCATGAAGAGGTCCAGTTCCCAAGAGACAGCGATGTCCCGTGAGAATAGTAGTTCGCTGTAGACGTTCTCGACCCATGAGATCTGCGACCCCATCTATCCAACGCCTGCCTGAACTATAAGTTCTGAGGGATGAGGGCACAAGAAGGGGAACAGGTGCCAGACAAATCCGCGGGGCGATTAGCGGCTTGGGTGAAGAAAACGAACAGAACGCAAGGAAGGGGAGAAAACTGGAACAAAAGAGGCAATGGGAATTTGTGTTGAGATCTAATTTTTTTTTTTTTTTTTTTCTGCACGTCATCGCAGAGCGGGTTTATTTCACAGGTGGCCCTCCAAATGTGCTGTGAAAAGAAAACACATCTCCCATCCCATTGATCCACGGCAGCGAATAACATATCGTCCGGATGAAGCGACAACTAAGAGCAAAGAGCTGCCCTGCCCTCTTCGCCAAGTTGGATCGAGACTCCTGGAAGGGGCCATGACTCCTCCTTCAGTTGCTGGTAATTAGTTCACTCTGACGTTCCCGGAAGAACTGATCCTTGGCCCCCGCAATCGATCCACTATCGATCCATCCGCTAATCAGAAATGATCAGGCCGGCACCGGCAGTCTGAAGCAGCGCCAGCATCATCACAGGAGCATGTGGGCGGTGATAATGTGGAAATAACGAATATGACCATGCTGCAGAACCCAGCGAGAGGACGGCTCCCCAGCACCTGGATGGCTGGGAGAATGCAATGAGGCGAGGCTAAGGGTGGAACCTATCCAGAGAAGACCCGTTGTTGCATGGAACACGTTTGAATTGAAAAACCGCCGTGGTCAAATCAGATCAAAGAGAGCTCCCTATTCGCTGGGTATTCATCTGGCGGCCGCACGCAGCAGCAAACTTTTGCACGCACTTGTAGGTGTGCGCGTCCCCTCGATGGGAGAAACAAAAATGCGCAGATCTCCGTGCTTACTGGGACATATGAACGGAGAGGGAACAAAACAAGAATTGTGGACCCGGATGCTGCAGAGTAAGAGTGAAGCAGGAGTGTAAAAAGCGAAAGATCGGGTTGTTGAATGCGGGATCACGTGTGTCTTGCCGTTAAAGAGTCTTGGTCAGCCGGCATCGATGGCATGCATCGTTGTACCGGCGGCCTACACACACATTTTTTAATGCTCTGCACTCTGGGCGAGAGGTACCTCACAAGCCAAAAAAAATAAGAAATACCAGAAGTGTTAGCAATCGGGCAGGATCCATGTCTCAAATATGTTCCATCTGTTTTTGATTAAAGTTCAGATTGTCCAGAGTAAAAAGTTCGCATCACGGAGCGAGAGAGTGACTTGGGAGTAAAAATAATATCTCTCCTCCTTTTCCACAGATTGATTTTATTTTTCTGTCCCGAATAACCTGTAGGTTTTTTTATTTATTTATTTATTTATTTATTTATTTATTTTCCTGATTCAGACAAATATCTGGCCGTGGAAAATATGTAGGTAAATGTTAACCAAATCATTTCACTCTAAAAAAACAATTCTAGAAGCTGGATACTTTCCTTAACTATGATGAACGAGATCTAAAAAAGAATCTATGTCATAAATTAACTAATTTTAGATGAAATAACTAACTGATCCTAGTTAGTAAAATACAAATACGCCCCCTGACGGGACCGTCGAAACCGCGGAAACCGCCTCACTTTGGCATTTCGATGACATAACGAACCAGAGCAACCCATCCCAAGGTTCCTTGCTCCAACAAGTCAACAATAGAATATAAACTAATCGGTAAATCAAAAGCCCCCCCCCCCCCCCCCCCCCCCACTGGCTTTGCTACTTGGAGCACCCTTATCAAACTTCCACCCTTACTTGTAAGTGTGAGAGTCTATTGTACGTACCAGAACCCACCCACCGCCCCTGGCTTGGGCTCCGCTTGGGTGCTCGTGCGTGCAGACAGACTGCAGAAAACGAACGAGCAGTTTTCAAAAGACCTCCCCGCCACCCTACCAAAATTGATCATTGCACATGGGTGGATAGAACAAGGGACATCCGAGTTTATACCGCCTCTTCCCATATCCCACACCATCCATTCCATTACCATCCAAAATCTACCCTCCCCTTTGCCCTTCCCCCAACATCACGAGTTAAAACGCTTGTAGAAGATGCTGGTGTGATGGTAAGAACGAGATTGACAATACGGCGCCTTCAAGTGGCAGCGCTGTCTGTCCGCTAAGGAGTGTAGTTGATGATTTACTTCCAGAACTACTACTGCGTGGTTTTCTGTGCCTGCTAGGGTGAGAAGCATGGCAATACCGTGAACCCAGAAGAAATCCGTCATACAAAAGATCCACTGGGTTTTTTTTTTTTTTTTTTTTTTTTTTTTTGGTTTTCCCCGCAACTCATTTTTTCACCTTTCAAGAGGAGGGAAGCAATGTCAAAAATCCCGGTGGAGGCAAGTTGAAAATGGCATAGAAAAATCCACATGAAATTTTCAATAGCAATTTCAAAAATGGAATGAAGTGAAATGAAATGAATCGGACAGGGGGATTCCGTTCCCAGGTCGGGTAATTAGGTACAAAATATATATAGCAGGGATACCAAACATGAAGTTGTGAATATGTAGAAGACACAAGCCAATGAAGGATAGCAGGTCCAATGAAAGATCCTGGGTAAATGCGCAAACTTGATCTCACCTGCGTGAGGAAAAAGCAGGGTATAGTTGCAAATGGCGGGAGAGGCGGTGATGGTCAGTGGACGAAGATGGTCGATTTTTGTTGCTTTCTCTTTTGTTATCTCCTTCCAGGCTTGTCCTTCCCGCGAGATATATGCATGTCGTGTTTGGCGTTTTTGACGCCAGGATCCTCCAGTGAATCGTGTGAGGCTGTATGTAGTTGGCAGAATGCAAGCAATTGAATCCATGGGATAAGGGTAGGAAAAGGAGATAAAACACAAGAAAAATTTTAAACCCACACGCTTTGAAGCTGTTGAACCGCCCCCTGTTTTGGTTGTAAAAACAGATCGACATCCAAGCATAAGCTCTCAATGCAAATGAAGAACTTGTTGGGCAACAAAAATTAAAATTGAAACAGGGGTGGGTGGTTTGGAATTGGGAAATGACAAGGCAGAAGTGGGAAAAAGGAGAATTGGAAATTGGAATAGCACTCTTGAGTTATTTCCGCGAGGCATTTTGTACGTCCGCAAGCAGAGATAATGACTAGAAGTTGAGAAAAGAGAGAAAAAAGCAAGAAACACTGCTTTGGCAGCCTCCGCGAGGACGAGCGTGGATGTTATGATCGTGGCTGGTTCTCGGTTCGACTGGACTGTTTCGTTTTCTTTGTCGCTGCTTGTGACAGTTCAACTGTTTGAGTCTCCTTTGTTATTTTTTTTTTTTATATTTCTCTTCGGTATACCTGTTAGCCATTCCCTTGGCGATTTCCAATAGCTGTTTCGCCAAAGCAGAATCCGATCCACCCGAGCAACCGCAGGAAGAGTCCCAAATCGCTTTTGTTAGTAAACTGAGAAAAAAAGGGGTTTTTTTTTTCTTTCTTTTTTTCTTCCTTGAAAAAAATTCATTGCCTCAATGGTCCAATCCCGGAATGCTGTCAGCAAGGGGCGCTGCTAGATTCAAACGGCATTGGCGCTTGGGAGGCAATTAAGCATAGCATGCATGGAACACTCACCCGTTGCACCTATGCATTTGCCATTCCAGTCCCCGAAAATAATATAAAAAAAATAATAAAATAATAATAATAATAATAATAATAATAGAAAAAAAAAAAAAAAAAAAAAAAAAAAAAAAAAAAAAAAAAAGGCTAGACGATATCCCAAACATCTTCAGCGGCATGGCAGAACTTGCTGCACGCAACACTGGCACTGAGACAATAATTGCTGATACTAATCGTATCATCCTTAAAGCTGTCTGCGAAGTCATCCTTTCCTTTCGCCATTGCACCGACAAAGACGCAAATACTCTCATTCGGCCCCAGAGACTCGATATAGTCATTGACGCGAACGACGGGTGAGTCGAAACTCAGCGTCACCTTCCGGCAGTTGGGAGGTAAGTGGTCTGTGATTGGGTTCCTGATTACTTTCAGAAGCTTTTCTTGCGAGTTTGTGGAGCGGATGGAGAGGCGGTGGAGTAGTTGGACCATCAGGCCGGCGAAGCGTTTGAAGGTTCGTGGGATGCGCACTGTCGGGCTGACTTCGATCAAGACGCCCTTGGCGGTGTGGATGTAGATTTGTAGTTTTCCTGCTTTGTTGATGGGGGAGTCCAGGAGGGTAAGGAGACACTAGAGGCGGTTTAGAGTCCGGTACTCGCGGGACAGTTGATAAGCATAAATGCATATAATATATATATATATATATGTGAGGAGTGCCCGGGGGGAAGAGTCAGAGGGCGGTATTTCAAACCTGATGAGTGATGTCTGGGCGGGCGTCACTTATGTCCCGGTTCATCTTTCGCATGACACCGATATGCTCATCGCTGTTGAGCAGGGAGTATTTCTCTTCTCTGCCGTTCGCGTTTCTGCCTCCAGAGGATGTACGGTAAGTTTCCAGACTCGCGTTGGAGAGAACGACGATCAGGCGCTTGGTCTCCTTGTCGGAGGAGGAGATGGGGACATGTTGTTCTGCCACGAGTTGAGGGAGTTTCGGGGGAGGGCAGGATTGGGTTCCTGGGTGGTCAAATGCGACGCTCTTGTTAGTGGCCATTATGTCACATATCGTGCGCTGGCTATTTCGTGTATTATATATATATATATCAAAAGCCTCCGTGTCTTGGAGAAAGTGTATTTATTGAAGCAGGCGATTGCAACAGAAGAAGGATCAGTTTGCAGAGAAGATACAGAAGATGGTAGAATCACTTTCACAGTGAAGGAGGGGGTTAAGGTTGAATGACTTTCAGGTTTGGTTTCTTTCTTGGGAATTGGTCATGACCGACAAGATTCTGCTAGCAGTCTGCCCAACCAGCCCAACAGGTAGGTAGACAAGTCCATCCTCAGATCCCCTCTCTCTCGTTGCCCGAGTAGCTCCAAACAGACAGAGAAAGAGAAAGAGATTCGCTTACTGGGCCGCTTTCTCTTGCCTTGCATCACATTGGACATGGTGGGAATTGGGAGGAGGGAAATGGAGAGGAAATTTTTGCCACCTGTCTGTGTCTCTCTCTCTCTCTCTCTCTCTGTGTGTGTGTGTGTGTGTGTGTGTGTGTGTGTGTTTGTGTTAGAAGGCGAAGTGCGATTGCAAAGGATGGGAGCAGCAGGAAGCCGCTGTATCGATCAATTGAGCAGCAGGGAGAGAGGGTGAAAAAAAATAAATAAATAAATGAGGGAATCGTGTGGAGAAGAATCTCGGGTATCCTGGGGGTACCTTGAATATCAAGCCTGATGACCATGAGTCGGAAAAGCCCAAGGAAACAGAAAACTAAAAAACAACGGATGGTGCGGGATGCGCTATTTAATCAACGGGTTCCTCAACCAACCAACTAGCAACTCGTCGATAAAACTAGGTAACTGGCTTCATTGAGAAATCCTTTTTTCCATGCCGCTGGTGGCACACAGCTCAATGCAACTCAGTCCCGCCCCCGGGGAATTAATAATATTCGGAAACAGAGATGCTCTCTTTTCGAATTTGTAGTATGAATCTGTAGTATGAATCTGTAGTTTGAAATATGCTTTCACTGCAGCACGAATTTCAGCTTGTTACTGATTCTTCATTTATTTCGCTGTGGGAATGCGTAACTCCCCCTGCTGTGGTGGATATGGTACCGATGGCTAAGTTACCTGGGTACAGAGAACAATCTTCCCAACCCCCTCATTCTGATTCACCTGATTGTGCCATTGATCATTGTGATCTGTCTGGTCATCAATGGACGGGCTTCAGCTCTCCCAGAGCAAGAGGAATGAATCGATCAACTCGGAGGCTTCTTCATTAACGAGCCCCCTTGTGCAGTTAAATCTAGTTATCTAGTTATTGACTATTGCTCTTGTTAGAATAGGTACGTACCTACGGTTCCAGTTACAGTCCAACCATGGAGACGTGCAGCCACCAAACCATCCCGCGTTGACGGCGGCTAGAGGGTTACATCAACTTATCCTTCCCCCGCTACCGCCACTGGAATGATACCTTTGACCTGTCAATAGCGGCGGACTTGCTTCTACTATGCGCTATTGCATGTGAATGCATATACATATACGTATATATACGGCAACAGCTCAACCACGCGCAACCGCAAGAATTCCGTCTGGAATGGCAACGGGTGTGTTTCAGGCTATGTGTACTCCGTCGAGCACTCACATGCATGCAGTCGAAGTTGAGTTTTAAATACATAATAATCCCAGCCCTAGAGGCTACATAGCTGGAAAAACACCAAAGCCAACATCGGCCCTTTCTGACTCCACTTGCCACACCGTTCGTCCAAGCGCGCGAGACCATTCTCCCCAGACAAGCAGGCTCATGCGAGAGCAAGCTTCACCTGGCACATTGGATGTGGTGGGCGTGCATGTATAGATGTGTAAAATGTATCTGATAGCTAGCCATCGTCGGGTGTATAAGTGGGCGGGACATTTCTCTGCACACGGTATCGTGTCTGTGGCAGATATGCCACAGCCCCCAAGAGCTAGAACTATATAGCTCTCTGCAGACAGCGGACGGACAAGGAAGTCCGGAGGGCCTGTTTGAATTTTGAGCAGCTACAGCAGATAAGGATTCCTTCTACTACGTCCGGCCCTGTTTAGGTGTGTGTTTGTGTGGGGGGTCATGGTGTGTGTGGCGTAGTCCCGACTGAAAGGAGGAGAAGAGAAAAGAGATACAATAGATAGATATAACTCGTCGAGAGCAGGGCGAGGAAAGAAAATGGACAAACACAACAATTGATGAAATGAAGCTTGAATACGAGAGCTCATAGGAAGACCTATGAGCGTAAAAGGAGGAAAGGGATTCCTAGAAACATAAATGCTAACACAAAGGAAAATAATGAGGGGAAGAAGGGGGGGTTTGATTGGGAATAACAGTGCGCACGCATGGAAACGGAGACCACCAACGGAAGCGAAGGGAGAAGAGCGAGGAAAAGAAAGGAAGAGGAAAAATTAAAGGACAATACGTTTAAGAAAAAAGTGGTAAGATATTATAATTTATCAACTTGACATGACCCTCCCGCGTTCAAGGTTTTGCTCCCCACTACCCTGATTTCATTCCCATGTTTCCATCTATTCTTACTTCCCCTGTCCTCCTCCCACATTTTCACGCTGGTTTAAAAAAAAATTTGAAGAAGCAAAACCAGAACATGCAATGATGCTATGATTAAATAGGAAAAAGAAAAAAAAAATACAGAAAAACGGAAAAGCAGTAACCACTTGTAAAAAGAGGGTCAATGTACTAAAGCACATTCACGTAAGCCACAAGCAATAGCATACAATGCGCACTGCGTCCCTGCCAAATCAATCATCAACAAAATCTGAAGCGTTCCCCGGTTGTTGGTAGATCTTGAATGTCACTTGCCCCATCCACTGAAAGCCTCACATGGCTATACACTCGGGGAATTATTTGTGGCAGATATAATGAATGCTTCGGGGAGAGGTGGAATGAAGAGAGGAGAAAGTGTAAAAATAAAATATAAAAAAGCTCTCTTTGAGTTGGGAAAAAGGAAAAACAAAAAAAAAAAAAAACATTCATCGTCAGAATAACTATTCATTGAAAATGTGTTTTTTGGGGTATTTTTTTCTCTTTAGCTTCTTTCCCCTTTCTCTGGTTCCTCCCATTTCTCCATCGACAGTTTCATTAGCTGGTTGGAATTGTTTGGCCAGAATTCGTTGATCAATCAATCAACTAGGTTTTCCTCATAGACACACTACATCAAACAACAGAGAAAGAGAGAGCAAAAAGCAAACGAAGGCAAGGCAAAAAACAAGGCAAAATAAAACAAGTTAACAAGTGCAAAGACTCATTTCCGTATGTTCTAGGGTGCAAGGGATTTAAGCGCTATCAAATTGAATATGGGGGACATGTGCAAGTGCGGACGTGTGCAAACTGTGCGGCTTTAATTCATCAAATAGCATACTTCCGGGTCCATTCGCGCGCGGTAGCTTCATAACGCGGACGGTCAGTCTTGTAGACATGGGCGATTTCAGGTACCAATGGGTCATCGGGGTTGGGGTCTGTCAGCATGGAGCAGATCGAGAGGAGAACTGGGCGGAAGGAGCGCTTGTCAGTATATGAGATGTTTCTCAAATAGGAACCTTGGATATGGCGTTACCTTTCGATATGGTCAGAGCAGGGCTCCATTGATCTCTGAGGATGTCAAGGCAGATGCTTCCGTTCGAGTTGATGTTGGGGTGGTAGATGAGGGTGGTAAAGTTGACCTTGGGCGGTTTGAAGGGGTAGTCGGTGGGGAAATGTATAGCAAGGAAGAAGACACCACCGGAATACGGGCTGTCACCCTATCCATCACGGAAAATGAACTTGTCAGCTTGGCTCCCTTGATAAAACCGCAAATGGGAGCAGGAGAGAATATCTTCTCTGCGAGCAAGAGTGTAGCACTTACAGGACCCATGATAGTAGCTTGCCAGTGAAACTATTTCATATTACGAGCAGAACAGTCAGTCTATGCTCTGCTTAGGAGACAAGGAGCCCTAACCACAGCCATTCCCCTTGTTGGATGCTCGATGCTTCTTCCAACACTAGCCTTGCGAGGCCATCAATCTGAAACGGCTCCAGCGTAGGGCGGTGTGGGCGCAGGGCACTTTTCACAGCGAAACGTGTAGGGGAGGGAGTGAGCCTACCAAGTCTTCTCCAACGGGCCCAGCAGAGCATGATGAGGGGGGATCACTTTATCAAGAACATCAGTGAGCCAGTTTATCCTTTTTACTGAGAGTCTGGATGTGTTTTTTATTTTTATTTTTATTTTATTTTTATTTTTTTTTTCGGTTTGTGTGTGTAGAGTGTTGCTCATAGCAACAGGATGTCCCGCAGTGAAGCAGGTCATGAGGGTTGACAGTAGTTGACAATAGTTGACAGTGGTGGTGCGTGAACTGCATCCCAAAAGGGAAAAAAAAAAAAACATAAAAAAAACACATCATAAACACGTAAAAGAACAAGCCAGGAAGGACTCACCGGCCCAGATCTAAGAGTTCTTTGTTGATTCTCTTGAGAGCCATGTTTGTTTGCACGAAAGAGATTTATATATGGTGATAAGTTGAGATAGAGGGGGCGAGGAAGGGAGGGAAAGAGAGAGTGTGGATTAGCAGCAGAGGAAACGGTCGTGTGCTTGCTATTCGGAGACGGCGGCTCTGGATAATCGATCGAGGAACTGTTTCAAGGATATGGGTGGTTAGGTTAGTTTGTTGTTAGCGGGAGTTGGATGGTTATTAAGAGTGATGGTATTGGTGTTGCAATTTGGCGGGTACTTGAAGCTGAGGAGTTGTCAAAATGCAAGGTAGAGAGAGAGAGAGAGAGAGAGAGAGAGAGAGAGAGAGCAGAGAAGGGGGTGGGAGAGGGGATGGGAGAGGAGGGAGAGGAGGGAGAGGAGGGAGAGGAGGGAGAGGAGGGAG